AAGGAACGGAAACTACTGATTGCAGTTTTAAGGAAGACATGGTGGAAGAAGTTTAAAAAAAAAGAACAAGTGGATGTCGTTAAGACACGGGGGGGAGGGAGGAACAGGTTGATATCGGTAAGACACGGGGGGGGGAGGAACAAGTGGATGTCGGTAAGACACGGGGGGGGGGAAGAAAAAAGTGGATGTCGGTAAGACACGGGGGGAGGAACAAGTGGATGTCGGTAAGACACGGGGGGTGGGGAGGAACAAGTGGATGTCGGTAAGACACGGGGGGAGGAAGGAAAACTAAGAAGCCCCTTTAAAAAAGAACTAAAATATATTATGCAACATTGCAGCAGAAGAGAAAAAAAGTGAAAACTATGATTAAGTAATGAGGAAATAAAACGAAAATAAAACGATAATATGACGGGGATGAGACGGTAACATAAAAAGTAGCAGTAAAGTAGTAACTGTAATGTGGTGATGAGGGAGAGATACTCAATGAATGGACGAACCTGAAAAAAGAACGGAACAAAACAACGAATGTTTCCGCAAGAAGCCTTCATCAGAGAAAAAACAATAGTAAAAAAATAATATAAATAAAGAGATAATCACCTCACTGCAATTTAGTATTAGAGAGGAAAGCAATAGGAATGTAATAGAGCATGAGTAGTTGAGAGGACCGTAAGAGGAATGTGACAGTACATAAGTAGGTGAGAGGACCACAAGAGGAATGTGACGGAATATGAGTAGGTGAGAGGACAGCAAGAGGAATGTGACAGAACATAAGTAGGTGAGAGGGCAGCAAGAAGAATATAACAGAGCATAAGTATGTGAGACGGCAGCAAGAGGAATGTGACAGAACAAAAGCAGGTGAGAGAGAGCAAGAGTATTGTGACAGAACATAAGTCGGTGAAAGGACAGCATGAGGAATGTGACAGAACATAAGTAGGTGAGAGGACCATAAGAGGAATGTAACAGAACATAAGTAGGTGGGAGTGCAGCAAGTCGAATGTGACAGAACATAGGTAGGTGAGAGAGCAGCAAGAGGAATGTGAAAGAATATAAGTAGGTGAGAGAGAGCAAGAGTATTGTGACAGAACATAAGTCGGTGAAAGGACAGCATGAGGAATGTGACAGAACATAAGTAGGTGAGAGGACCATAAGAGGAATGTAACAGAACATAAGTAGGTGGGAGTGCAGCAAGTCGAATGTGACAGAACATAGGTAGGTGAGAGAGCAGCAAGAGGAATGTGAAAGAATATAAGTAGGTGAGAGAGAGCAAGAGTATTGTGACAGAACATAAGTCGGTGAAAGGACAGCATGAGGAATGTGACAGAACATAAGTAGGTGAGAGGACCATAAGAGGAATGTAACAGAACATAAGTAGGTGGGAGTGCAGCAAGTCGAATGTGACAGAACATAGGTAGGTGAGAGAGCAGCAATTTTTTTAAAATTCTTATTTCATCATAGAGTTAATTAAATTACGCCTTTGTCGTCGTAGTTAATTAAAGTTTTGACCCCCCCCCCCAAACCACTCAAAAAAAAAAAAAGAAAAAAAAAAGAAAGTCTTTAAATTAAAAAAATATGACATTTTTTTAAATTTTGGTTAAGAGCATATTTAGAAAGTTACTACATTTGTCTACTAATTGAGCTTGTTATTTTAAAAAAATATGAAATGATGAAGGTTCATTTATATTATAATTGTTTGATTACAGTTGGATCCAACGTGGATATTTCATCGAGAAAAAGCTGCATAGCCAAGGACAAAATTCGAATAAACTCGTCTACTGTTAAAGAATCTTAAATATCCCAGAAGAGAGGAAGAAGTCTGAGAGCCATCGGAAAATGCTTTTTAGACCCCACAGAAGCCAGAGAAGGGAATGTGTACACTCCTGGAGGACATTAGACATTATTTTTTTTTTCTTTTTAAATGAAATTAAGTGAAGATAACTTTTTATTTTTCATTTTTCCTGGAAACTTAATTTTCGTTTTAGTGATGTAATTTCAAAAAATGATATTCTGAACAATTGTTGTTTGGTGGGCCAGAAATTTGCCTTTGATATCTCGAACGGTATTGTGCTGGTTGCTGAAGTAAAAGAACACTGCAGGTAAATATTTGTTTGGTTGCTTTCTAGATTTTAAAAAAAAGAGAATTTTTGCATTCAGGGAAAGCTCCATTTTAAAAATATTCACACTCAAAAACATGCAAATTATGATCATTTGTGCAAAAAATCAAGGATAAAGGTCGATTTGTTGCTGAGGTATAAGTGTTGAAAAAAAAAAAAAGCTATTTTTGGTAACGCGGCGGCCATATTGGTATCTTAATTAGCATTAGGTTTTCTTAAAGAGAGGGAGAGCGAATTCCTTGCCATCGATGGCTATTTCAGGTGGTAGTGAGCTCAAGTTAAGATTTACGTTGTATCTGGCTTTCTGAAACAGAGTGTAGGGGAATTTCTAGCAATCCGTGACTAGTTCAGATGGTAGTAATCTATAGATAGTCAAGATAAAGGAACGGAAACTACTGATTGCAGTTTTAAGGAAGACATGGTGGAAGAAGTTTAAAAAAAAAGAACAAGTGGATGTCGTTAAGACACGGGGGGGAGGGAGGAACAGGTTGATATCGGTAAGACACGGGGGGGGGAGGAACAAGTGGATGTCGGTAAGACACGGGGGGTGGGGAGGAACAAGTGGATGTCGGTAAGACACGGGGGGAGGAAGGAAAACTAAGAAGCCCCTTTAAAAAAGAACTAAAATATATTATGCAACATTGCAGCAGAAGAGAAAAAAAGTGAAAACTATGATTAAGTAATGAGGAAATAAAACGAAAATAAAACGATAATATGACGGGGATGAGACGGTAACATAAAAAGTAGCAGTAAAGTAGTAACTGTAATGTGGTGATGAGGGAGAGATACTCAATGAATGGACGAACCTGAAAAAAGAACGGAACAAAACAACGAATGTTTCCGCAAGAAGCCTTCATCAGAGAAAAAACAATAGTAAAAAAATAATATAAATAAAGAGATAATCACCTCACTGCAATTTAGTATTAGAGAGGAAAGCAATAGGAATGTAATAGAGCATGAGTAGTTGAGAGGACCGTAAGAGGAATGTGACAGTACATAAGTAGGTGAGAGGACCACAAGAGGAATGTGACGGAATATGAGTAGGTGAGAGGACAGCAAGAGGAATGTGACAGAACATAAGTAGGTGAGAGGGCAGCAAGAAGAATATAACAGAGCATAAGTATGTGAGACGGCAGCAAGAGGAATGTGACAGAACAAAAGCAGGTGAGAGAGAGCAAGAGTATTGTGACAGAACATAAGTCGGTGAAAGGACAGCATGAGGAATGTGACAGAACATAAGTAGGTGAGAGGACCATAAGAGGAATGTAACAGAACATAAGTAGGTGGGAGTGCAGCAAGTCGAATGTGACAGAACATAGGTAGGTGAGAGAGCAGCAATAGGAATGTGAAAGAACATAAGTAGGTGAGAGGACAGCAAGAGGAATGTGACAGAACATAAGTAGGTGAGAGGGCAGCAAGAAGAATATAACAGAGCATAAGTATGTGAGACGGCAGCAAGAGGAATGTGACAGAACAAAAGCAGGTGAGAGAGAGCAAGAGTATTGTGACAGAACATAAGTCGGTGAAAGGACAGCATGAGGAATGTGACAGAACATAAGTAGGTGAGAGGACCATAAGAGGAATGTAACAGAACATAAGTAGGTGGGAGTGCAGCAAGACGAATGTTACAGAACATAGGTAGGTGAGAGAGCAGCAAGAGGAATGTGAAAGAACATAAGTAGGTGAGAGGACAGCAAGAGGAATGTGACAGAACATAAGTAGGTGAGGGGACCATAAGAGGAATGTGACAGAACATAAGTAGGTGAAAGGACATCAAGAGGTAATTGCATGCAAAATATGCATCTAGATTTTAGCGAAATTGTGCGACAAGGGTAAGTACAGTTTTCCGGTTTTCGGTGCACGTCGCTGCTCATTCTGTTATAATTGCGCATGGTAATACATCAACAGTTGTAATGACAAAGACATTTGCAGTGCGGAAAATCGACGCCCACTGTATAGGGTTTAAAGGATTCTGGAATGTCTTAAAATATTATTTTTTTAAATGACAGTCTCAAAGTTGAGTCACAGATCGGATGTCAGATTATCCTTGTCTTTTAGAGATACTAATAATATCTCAACCGTTATCCTATTCCATACTTCGAAGAAAAGACCGATAGAGTAACTATTTTTTTTACGAGAATAACAAATGAAATATTTGATGTGAATCCCATATTGCGGACGAAATTAAACTATGATGCAAAATGATATTAGGACAGCAGGGTTAAGATGAACTATACATAATGTTGTGAAATAGATTGATCCGAATGGTTGGTAGGGGGGAGTTATTAATCGTGAAAGTGTTTTTTGTGAGCTGTAAGTCGTGAGGTCGGATCGTGGAGTTGGTTCCTGGTGTTGAGCTATAGTGTATGCCGAGTGTTTGTTACGTAAGGGATATAAAACGCAGTGTGTTTGTTTATCGCCGGAGTCGATTCCAGAGAAGAGAGTTGAGAAGAGAACAGAGATTGAGGGGGGGGGGAGGGGCAGGAGAGCGAAAGTTAGTGAGTTAACTTGGGTGATTGCTATGGGTATCATCATTTAACGTTGTGAATTGACATTTGCTGTGATTAAATCCTATAATTAAAGAACTGCGGCTATCTTCATTGGACGCTGCAGACACGTTAAGCATACTTTAGTATACAGTTTTCACCCTAGGCCCTAGACGAAATAGGGGCGCTATCAAACTGCGCAGCGGTAAATGCGCCTACTGGTGAAGTTTGTTATATCGTATTACTTCTGAAGACCAACGAAGGAAGGTCGCAACACATAACTTAATTCAAAACCAAAACAGCTACAACCAGTGACCCGCAAAATAACGTTTACAGACGCACTTCTTGTGTACCAGCACTATAATAGTTTTTAAGACAACTACACTCAAATGATTACAATGACATGATGTAACACAGTAGATTTTTGCTTTTTATTTATTTATTTGCTTTAAATTTTTGTACACGCCTTTCCAAATAGCATGTGTAGTCCCGTTTCATTAACTTTATAATCTCTTCATGAAATCATGAATGAGGGCACTCTACGATTGGCTGCACTTTGAAATCCGAAGAGGAAATAAATATATATTTAGCCTCTGTAGCTTTCGATGGATCACCACAAACATGTGGGGAGTACGAGGGTACTTGAATCAATTCTGGGGGCTCGAGCAGTTTCGGTTGAGAAAGTCACTCACAGCCGGCTGATTTATCACATTCGGACCGCAGTTGGTGAGTATCTGGTTTTTGGCGTCGTTGCACCTCAGCACCGAGTTGGTGCATCTCCAGTTTAGGATCCATCGTATGAATAGAAACAGGTCGTCCAGGCCTTCGTTCACCGACACGCAGTTGATCAGTTTAGCGTCGCTTAAAGCGAACCATTCGTAGTCCAGCACCAACAGTCGCCTGGCGGCGTTACAGAACTTGAGATCCGCGCTCGTCTGCGGCTGGTTCTCCGGTTCACCGCCTGAGGCAGGCAGGCCGTTGGTCAGCGCCAGGTAAGTTCCGGCTTTCGTGGGATCGGATATTCCCGTAACGTTCATGACCCTTAAGATGTCGAAGAATTCTGATCCCAAACAAAGAGGCTCATTCGTGGGCTCCCAGGTGTCGAACAGAGGTTTGTTGGCTGACTCGACCTCAACGAATATACCTGATACAAAGGTTAGAAAGAATAATAAACGAATACACTTGATACGAAGAAAATACATAATAGTTAACCAAAACCAAATACAATGGTAAGACACAAATATTTAACTAGTATACCCCACAAAATGGTAAGGCAAAAATAGTTAGCAAATGTACCCGATAGAATGGTAAGACATTAATAGTTAGCAAATATACCCGATAAAAAGGTAAGACAATAAGAGTTAACAAATATAACTGATACAATGCTAAGACAATAATAGTTTACAAATATACCAGATACAATGAAAAGACATAATAGGTATCAAATATAACTTTTGCAATGGTAAGACACAATAATTGTATTAGACAATGAGAAGAACTTTTAATGAATTTATTCATTTATTTTTAGAGCTATTCTTAAATTACACAAAAGCCACTTACCTGGCATGTCTTTGGTGTCTTTTGTCATGAAGGGCCGAAATCCAATGAAAATTCCACAGCAGCTGATGTTGATGGCCAGGAGTCGCGAGGGACACAGGTAGTACTGAATGCGGCAGTTGAAGACGGTCACTGTGAAGTTCCCGGTGATAATTTGAGGTATGAAACCTTGAAGGTTGTTTTTGATCGTCCAAGTCGTCACTTGAAGAAAACAAAGTGGTTAATGCTTCCTTAGAATTATACAGGAGTATCAGCTGAAAGCAGTATCCGAGAGGGAAGCAAAATAATTATCGAGGGCATCAAACGACTTATTTTGCCGCTTTCTCTATTACTAGTTTTCAGCTAAATGCTATCGCTATTTACTTTTGTGTTTACTGTCGTTTGTTTGCCGACGAAGGCTTCCCGCCGATACGTTCGCTGTTTTCTTGCATTCAATTTTAAAGTTGTCCAATTATTTTGTTTCACTCATTTGCTTTTTTGTTAACCTTATTGTAGCCTCCCCATTATTACCATTTGGTAAATTCAATATGGGCAAATTATGAATTTTCTGCAGCGTTTCTTGTCACATTCCTAGTCTTCTCTTAGGATTGAATGGAATAATGAATATGGTATCACGTTGGTGTTTAATCCATGTTCTGTATTCTCAATTCACTAAATATTCCTCAAAACATAAGTGTTCTTACCTAAGACTTAACTAAAGATGTAAAATTATATATGGGTATTATTGATTAAACAAATATAACACCGTTTCATAAGCAAAAGTGAAGGTAATTTGCTAAAATTTACAATCAGAAAGCTTTCTTATAACTACTATACTTTTTTCATTACCTATCATTGAACATATTCGCGTTTCGCAATTTTTAATTCCAGATTTATTGATTATTGTTCCTCTTAATTGACCATAACTTTGTAATAATATATTTTTAATCAGTAATCAGCCGTTCGATAGGATCGATTAACTACAAATAGTTGAATCTAGTCACTAACAGCTATTTATTTATATTTTTTGGGGCATTTTTTTTAAATTATTTGTTTTCAAAAGCTAGATTCCAAGTCCTAGGCAGATGAAACTTTCCCATTTCACAAAAGTTTTTCATGCAAGAGTATGCAGCTCAGATTTGCATTATTTCTTAAGGAAAAATTTGTCCCTGTCAAAATTAAAATTTAACTCTTTCAATTTAAAAGTCTTGGTTGAACTAAGTTTGAGACGTGTCTACTACAGGGTGCTGCTGAAGATCATGAAAATAAGACATAAAAACTTGGTCATTATTTTATAAACACACATTTCCATCTCATCAAGCATTATGACTTTAATCTTGTGTAGAGTTTAAAAAAACAAAACAATTGTAGACACGTGACATGTGAAGACTTTCTCGTGCAGTGTTCACTTGGTGAGCGTCTAGTCGAAGGCGTGGGGTTAACACTAGACTAATGCTCAAATGATCATGTTGGGCAAAATCTGCTTCGCTGGTTTCAACTTTTGGGTGTGTGAGTTCAGATCGACGTGTCATGCCTATTCAAACATGAGTTAATCATGATTTTTGTAAAGATACGATGTTTTAAAAAGTTTATATATTCTTCATAATGTCCATAATGTCAAGATAACAATTGTAATACACAAAAGTTGAATATTATAAAAAAAATCGTTTAAAAAACAACAAAAACAACAAAAAAAACAAACAAAATTTCTATCAAATACGAGGTAACATTCATCAAGAAGTAGATACTTAATTACAATTAAAATGATGATGATGCACTATCCAAAAAAAGTCTTGGTTGAATAGGTATTCCAAAATTAATTTTAAAAAACATGTTGAAGTTTTTTCTACATTCTGTTCGAATCTTTTGGCTTCATGTGGTGATCCTTTTTATTTTTGAAGTTCCTTTCTGTAATTAATGACTTTTAATTAATTTTAAATTATTTCTAACTTTTTCAGCACGATTTGATTCGTCTTTGATAGACTATCTTTGATGTTTTTTGACATCTAAGTCGTTGAAACTATGGCACGTAAGTTGTTTCCTTTACCGTCATGTGAATTCAGTCCCCTTGTCATTCTATCGGGTTATCCGACCTCTCGAGGCACATTGCCAGGAGATGCCAGATAAGGCTTGATCTTTTTGATACATTTGTTAGGAATTGTTCTCCTTGTCTTCTAATTGAAAGGTTTCACATTTTTTTTTTTTTTTGCAACTTAAACTGACGCCGGTCCGCGGACCACCGCTTGAGGAACGCTGTTGTAGAGCAGAATGTGTACTTAATAGGGGTTAACTTGTATTGAATAAGAAACACTTTTACGTACTTACGCAATAGGTGATCGAAGACATACTTGTATTTCACTAACGTCACACACGTCAATGCGAACTGGTATTCTATTTACAATTATTGTATTTGACTACAAATGAATGTTAGACTAGAAAGATACATTACAATTCTTACCATTATTTCTTTTCACAGCCGTTATTTGGACCACCAGAGAACTGTTCCTGGTCGGATTTGAGGGGGAGGGTACCTTGATTTGATACTTGCAAGATGATTGTAAGAACGAGTTACAAATTATATGTTGTTGTGGAAAGAACACATGCATAACATTGTTCTATTTGAAAATAATTTGATTTTTGAAAGAGAAAAAAAGTTTGAAGAATTGTCTCTGCTATGAGCAGAAAAAAAAAGCCCCTAGAAAAAGCATTTTGTTTCGATTAACTTAAATTATGGCTAAATATTTTTGAAGGTGAAATAAAAGATTTTTGTATTAAAAAGAAAACATTATTTAATGCGTTTCGTTTAGCTGGCTGCAGAATTCATAAATCAGGTGTATGTGTGGCAGGAATTTAAAACGTCAGTATTACAGTTAAAATGTGAACATTTCTTTACACAATTAGTTTCGTTATGCGCTCAATGAGCTGCAGTTATTAAAATCATTTCAAAATCGTATTTGTTTTTGTTTTTTTTAATTAACGAAGGAATATCGATTAATTTTCGTTATTCTGAGCCTCTCTTCACAAGGGCAGTTTAGTAAATTATACGTCGCATTACTATAGATAGGGACTTGTCTTTCATTCGACGTTTTACGATGTTTGAAAAATGGTTAATATATTCCGAAGAATTAAAACAATAAAAATAGCATTGTGAATGATTTAATCACGTCATCCTTCCCCAATAATTTATTGCCAAACTATGTGTGTTGGCCTAATTTTACTTCAATGTAGCCTAGAGGTGTTCACCACTTGACCGCTTTTTGTGGTGATATTGACGTCAAAGTTTAACTGAGTAGTTTTGGATCATCTCCGACCCTGACTAGTTTGGGGAACTTTGTTTACGTTCTGTTTATTCTAAACATTAAATCGGTTGGTGAAAATTCTAGAATTTCGTTTCATGGTGGGTTTCAGCTTCCTCTTTATGTATAATTATGCTCATAGCGGACCTACAGGAGTGTAGTCTTTATGTTTCTATATTAATATGTGTACCTTTCGAGGAATATACTGTTTCATTAGCTATTCTTTTAGCTTTAAAAAAAAGAAGTTTATTTATGTTTTAATTTTTTTTGTATAAAAAATTATAATATCATTTACTTTGACATGGAGGTTTTTTTTAAAATATTTTTGTTTTTTTGTTTTGTATACATGGTTTCTATTCCAGTTTTTATGTAATCTTCAACAAACGAGCTAAATCTTAAAACTGATTAAAGTTTGCTAAAACTTATAGTGGGCCTAACACTTGCATGGCTCCATTCATGGACCGAACTCACTAAAACGTCTGAGATTTACCGTGCAATGCATTATCCGAGTTTCATCCTCTTAGTAAGCAGGTCTGCAAACAAATGCTGCGACTTGGGAATGCCTGAACTCAGGTGACCTCCTTCCCCAAATCTCAATAGATTTATGTTTAGATTTATAAAATGGGACACTTTTGGTGCCCTCTGAAGAGAAGGCGCAATAGACGGGTCCCATGGGAACAAACCCTACTAGAAATATCTTTTTATAACTTGAAAAAGAATGCTAATAATTTGCTAATGAAACTTTGTGACAGCAGCATAGTTAACTGGATATGAATTTATATAAGGAGAATTATTGACCTCTCGTAATGTTAGTTATAATGGCTTGTTTTTGCTAATTAAGAAATCTAAGCATTGGTTTTTCAATTTGTTCTAAATTCATGTATTTTATTTTTCCAGTTTTTGAAAGTGCAATTTTTCTTCACATTTTTAACACCCCAATTTGCTTGCTTAAAGGTCACGTATCTACCTGTGCATCCTTTACATAGAGTTTCCCTTCGACACGCTCCGTGTAGGTGAACAGTGTCAACTCACATGACTGATTTGCATCTGATCTAGTGGTTCTCAAACTGGCCATCCTGGTCGACCCCATGATGTTAGCATTGTAGCTTGGGCCATTGAAAGGCCGCACTCTCGGATCGCTGCTTATCCTATTGTTGACATAATCGTTACTTTTCAGAGTTTTGTTGTTGGAAAATTATTTGATTAAAATCTTTTTAGAAGATAACTTTCAATTGTCACAAATCTTGTCAAAAGATGATTTTAAATTGACCTCGTTTGTATTTGATTTAACTTGTAAAACTAAAAAAAAAATATTAATTAAACATTTTGTTAATTAAAATATTTCTATTCAATACACTAGCATCTAACTTCTGTGTTCAGTATGGTACATAGTAAAACTGTTTCATAGCACACAACACATTGTTTTCATCACTAGCTACACATCGCACGCAGCACATACTAAAAAATAGCAATATAAAAATCATACTACACAATACATGCAACAAAAACAGAGTAAGACACATAGTTTAAACTCTTTAGTACTTGAACAGAATACATGAAATATTTCTATTAAAAAAACGGAAATCACACAGCACACATCAAATAGTACCCAACTCTTAGAAAATAACACACAGAACAAACTAAATCCTAGTACACAAAACAAATTACACAGCATTTCATAAACAACGCATAGACAATTGATTGACATTTTAAATAACTAGCCAATATACCCTGATTTTCACTGGTTTGTATTTGGAAAGCTCTCTTAAAGCTTTACAAGCACACAATGAGTCAAAAATCATAAGTATTCAAATTTATATTTACTGGTATAAAAGTCCATATTTTTATTTATATTTTATCATGTAAACATTAAATATTCTTGAAAAAAAAAAGAGTGACTGCCATTGGCTACCATTGAACATTTTCACTGCAGGTTGATAAGCTTTCTGACCTGGTGTCTAAACTAGTTAATTTATTGTTGTGCTATATACTGACTGATTGGTATGGTTCAAAAAATTTGGCTAATTGACATGCTAATTTACACGTTAGATTCCCTGCTGATATGCAGGTTCCAAGGTTCCAAACGCGTCACTTATCTTTTTGCAAGCTGCTCCCATTAGATATCCCATTTCGAACTTGATTATATTTTTCTCTCGAGATTTTACACTTTTACACTGTAACACTGCCTTGTGATTAACAAATCTCAGTAACTCAATTTGTTTTGTATTCAATGAGTGTATAATAAATGAACTAAATAGAAATAGTTAAATTTAAAAAAAAGACATTGCTATCCTAATAAAATGTACCAGCCCATAGTATGACTAAATGCTGTATGGGGCTAACACTAAAACTCGTGATTCTCCCTTAACATCACACGTATTATTTAAACGTAACATATAAAAATTACGAACATAGCCCATAAAATCTCATTAAGTATTGTATGTTGAATAGAAAACATTTTTTTAAATGTTATAATAAAATATATATATATTTTTTTTTTTAATGCAAAAAAATAAATCGGTTTTAAAAATTTCCCTTAGCCCGCTTCTTCACATAACTTTGTGGAAATCATTTTTTTTTTTAAAAAATCTATCCATGTTTTGTAATTGGTAATGATATGTATGTGAATCGAATTTTTTTTTTTTTAGATCAACGGTTATCAACCTGTGTGTTGCGACCCCTTTTGAGGACGAACGAACCTTACACTGGGGTAGACTAAGACCACCGGAAAAAACATAATAATGAAGTAGCAAAAAATTAATTTTATGTTTGGGGATCACCGCAACATATTGAGTGTTGCGACATTACGAAGGTTGAGAACTACTGGGGGAGATGCACCGATTTAATTAGATGATTGCATTGCAATCTAAGCCAGGCCAAACTTTTTTTGTTCTCAATTGTTTGGTTATGTCGTGTATTATCGACAATGAGTTTTATATAATAGATGACACACTAAGCTTGATATAGTAGATGTCACACTGAGACTATATAGTAGATCTCACATTCAGTTTAATATAGTTGATGTCACACTGAACTTGATATAATAGATGTCACAATGAGTTTTATATAGTAGATGTCATACTTACCTTAATATAATAGATAAAACTTTGAGTTTTATGCAGTATACAGGGACTAAGTACATTCATCTATTACATATCGTATAGTACTCACGAGCAGTAGAGGTTGTCGACATCATAGCAGTGGAAGTAGGGGTTGCCGGTGTAGTTCGCCTTACACTGACAGCTGCCGTTGACACAGACGGTGTTGAAGCCGCAGTTGTTGCAATCACAGGTATTGTTACAGTCAGCGACCGCTCCAGGAGTCAGCTGGACGTCACAAAAATTAACATGACTAGAAATGACCAGTTAAAAATCGGTTGAAACATAATTTGTCTACAGTACGTTAAAAAAGCTAAAGTTTAACTTTGCGATACAATTTTATTTTATGGTGTCAGTATAGCTGATTTCAATTAAAAAAAAACAAAAAACAATATAGATATCGTTATTGGGGGCAGCAAATGTATTTTAAAAATTTAAATATGTCTCTACAAGATGTACGAGGTAAAAGAGAAGCTGATCATTTATCTGATCACCATCTAGTTCGGGCAAGTCTCAAGCTAAAACTGAAAAGAAAATAGGAAGAGCAGGCTGCCACATGACGATAATGTGACTTAGCTTTTTCTGGATCACGAACAGAAACGACAGGATTTCACTGTTAGCTTGAGAAATAAGTTACAAGTACTGTAAAAACCAAACGGATTTTGACCAAATAGAAGATCAATGATTAAACGTAATAATCTCTGTAACATACGTGTGCACCAAGGTACTAGGGCAGGAGAAGCAAAATAAAAAAGAATGGTTCTCACTCGACACAAAGATTGGCTCTCATTTAACTCAAAGATTGGTTCTCACTCGACACAAAGATTGGCTCTCATTTAACTCAAAGATTGGCTCTCATTTAACACATAGGATGGCTCTCACTTAACACAAAGATTGGCTCTCAGTTAACACAAAGATTGGCTTTCACTCAACACAAAGATCAACTATCACTCAACACAAAGAACAACTCTCAATCAACACAAAAATTGGCTCTTACTCAAAAAAGAGATCAACTCTCACTCATCACAAAGATCAACTCTCACTCACAAAAAGATCAACTATCACTCATCACAAAGATCAACTCTCACTCAACACAAAGATCAGCTCTCAATCTACACAAAGATCAACTCTCAACCAACACTCAAGATTGTCTCTCACTCAAATCGTAGCATCAAATAAATGAGAGGAAAGAATTTAAGAGAGTAGTAAACAACAGCCGCACCAGTGCCGATGGGAATTAACAACAGCCGCACCAGGGCAGACAGGAGTTAACAACATCCGCACTAGGGCAGAGAGGAGTTAACAACAGCCGCACCAGGGTAGAGAGGAATTAACAACAGCCGCACCAGGGCAGATTGGCGTTAACAACTGCCGCACCAGGGCCGATGGGAGTTAACAACAGCCACACCAGCGCAGAGAGAAGTTAACAACAGCCGAACCAGGTCAGAGAGGAGTTAACAACAGCCGCACCAGGGCAGACAGGAGTTAACAACCGCCACACCAGGGCAGATTGGAGTTAACAACAGCCACAACAGGGCAGATTGGAGTTAACAACAACCGCACTAGTGCAGATTGGAGTTAACAATAGCCACAACAGGGCAGACAGGAGTTAACAACAGCCTCACCAGAGCAGAGAGGAATTAACCGTCGAACCAGGGCAGATTGGAGTTAACAACATCCGCAACAGGGCAGAGATGAGTTAACAACAGCAGCACCAGGGCAGAGAGGAGTTAACAACAGCCTCACCAGGGCTGAGAGGAGTTAACAGCAGCCGGACCAGGGCAGAGAGGAGTTAATAACAGCCGCAACAGGGCAGAGAGAAGTGAACAACAGCCGCAACAGTGCAGATTTGAGTTAACAACAGCTGCAACAGTGCAGACAGGAGTTAACAACAGCCGAAACCAGGGCAAATTGGAGTTAACAACAGCCGCAACAGGGCAGATTGGAGTTTACAACAACCGCACCAGGGCAAATTGGAGTAAACAACAGCCGCAACAGGGCAGATTGGAGTTAACAACAGCCGCATCAGGGCAGAGATGAGCAAACAACAGCCGCTACAGGGCAATGATGAGTTAACAACAGCAGCACCAGGGCAGAGAAGAGTTAACAACAGCCGCTCCAGGGCATAGAGGAGTTAACAACAGCCGGACCAGGGCAGAGAGGAGTTAACAACAGCCGCACCAGGGCAGACAAGAGTTAACAACAGAATCACCAGGGCACAGAGGAGTTAACAACAGCCGCAGCACACCACATAGAAGTTAACAACAGTCACATCAGGGCAGACATGAGTTAACAGTCGCACTGTGGCAGAGAGGAGTTAACAACAGCTGCAACAGGGCAGAGAGGAGTTAAGAACAGCCGCACCAGGGCAGAGAGGAGTTAACAACAGCAGCACCAGGGCAGATTGGCGTTAACAACAGCCGCACCAGGGCAGACAGGAGTTAACAACAGCCGCAACAGGGCAGACAGGAGTTAACAACAGCCGCACAGCAGCAGTCAGAAGTTAACAACATCCGCATCAGGGCAGGCAGGAGTTCCGCGGAAGGAGTCAGACAGAAAATATGGGATACACTTGGAAGCAATTTCAAAGTAAAGCGCAAGACGGATGTGAATTGAAAATTGTTGGAGAAGGCCTATGGCCCAGACCGAATAAAAAGGCAAAAGTATGTAAGCATTAAGGAATCATAGTGGCATTACAAAACTTGGCATAGATTTCTCTACAGGACAGCTTTAAAAAAAAGGTCATTTCTACTACTTTCTACCTAAGTGTCACACATAATCTAATATCTCACCTGTGCAACGGACACAAAGATGCACACTGTAAAGAAATATGAGGTCGTCATGATGACTCAAGATCAAGACTGCGCTGAAAACAAAAGAAATTGTGTACAATTTAAATTGACAGTTTCAAGTTCAATGCAAAAAAAAAAAAAATCGATTCAGTTGAAATAAATTCTCTTTCTCCTGATTTAGTCATGTATATTTCCTTGTGTGTTATATTTGTATCAAATTATTGTAAATTGAACTGTATTAATTATGTAATTTTCAATTTATTCTTATATGTTTGAACTCTATTCATGATAATATCATTTACACATGTGAGGCAATGAAATTTATTTCTAATAATGTCTGATCTATAAAAAGCTGTACCGTACTTAATTTTGGGCAACTCTGTTATACTGGAAATACCCTCAGATATAAAAGTTATAACAGATTACTTTAGACAAGATGCAATAATTTAAGGATAAGACTAAAAATTAAATCCACGCTTAAACACTAGGTCTATACCTAGAGGTGAGGGAATAAAACCAAAACCCTTAAGCTTACTGTGCACACAGATGCATCATTAAATAGCACGTCGCTCTGTTCGATATAACCTACCCTAAACAGATTTCTACTTAACTAGCTCACACTTTTCCAAGCGGTGCATCAACCTCCATTACACACCAACTTGCTCTAACCAAGTCCACACACTTAGCATGGACCTGCACCTTTGTAATGGTCAACGTAAAAATCAAATCTCTAGGCTCCCTCGTACACCTGTCAGTTACTTTCCCTTTTAACCGCCTCGTTAAATACGTGCGACTTTGATGCTCAAAAATCTGCTTCATGGCGACCCACCCACAATAAAATGAAGAGAACCCACCCCCACCCCACCAC